ACGATGAGGATGAGGATGAGGATGAGGATGACGATGACGATGACGATGACGATGATGATGTTGTTGTTGATAATGATGATGATGACTGATGATGATGAGGATATTGATACTGGCAGCCTTTGGTGGCAATGGTCATCCTTAGCTTGGTGATAGGTGATGAGGATGACAAAATCCCATGTAGATAATGCAAAACTCAAGATTAAAAACAAGATTTATATCTTAGTGCATCCATCCAAGATTCCAAAGTGTGCGAAACAAGTCGACAAGGAATGCGTTCGTGAGTACGCTAAGCGAATGAGAAAAAACCCCAACCTCTGTGAGAATATTCCATTCAAGTCAAAATGTTTGCTCGAGGGAACCAAAACCTGCAAAGCGACTATCCTGACCGACCTGCTTGACGTGTTTCCATATGAAGCCAATAAAGTACTCGCGGTCTTCTGTCAGAAAGCTCAAGACAGTGGTTAAAATTTTAAAATGATCAGAAAAGATTCAGGATAATTGTTATTGCTTAATATTCTAGTTAGAATGTTGTCAAAATGAAAGAAGTGGAATCACCCAATAAAAGATGAGTTATGGATAAATATTGACACTATGTCGAGGATTTGATTCAGTTTTTTTACACTAACTGATAACAACGCAAAACATAGAAGAAAAGATCTGAAAAAGAGGTTCTGTTAGTCTTCGTATCAAAGAAATGACTCGTTGTTTGAGTATTTTGGAGCTGGTTTCTATTTTAGCCACTCTCCACACGTTCATGTCGAAAAGCAAAATAATTGCAGAAATCAGTTTTACAGTTTTACAATCGCTTAAAGGTGCGATTGCACGGAGCAACGTTTTTATTGTCTCCCAACATTTTTGCAGCACAAGTTGCCGGAGTGTTTACCCGGTGCAACAGAGACGCGATCGTTGCCAAAAGTAGAAGCGAATTCTACTTTTTGCAACAATTTTTTTCAAATTTCGATGTAGGTTACACGCTGCTTGGTGCCAAGGCAACTCTTTGCTAAAAAATTATCCTGAATACTTTAAGCCGTATTTTTTTGATTAATTCAAACATAGTGCCGCATCCATGCAAGATTCCAAAGTGTGCATTGCCTGGAGAGTGGACAAGCAGTGTGTTCTCCAGTCCATACAGCAAGTGAAGTAGAATTCAAACCTGTGTGTGAACATCCCATTACTAAGTCAAAATGTCTGCTTGAAGGAACCAAAATTTGTCAAGCGGACATCCTGACCGACCTGCTTGGCGTTTATCCATGCCACAGGAAGCAAGTAAAGTACTTGCAGTCTTCTGTTAGAAAACCTAGAACAGTGGTTAAGCGATAATCAATAATGGTAATTGAACTGAGTGGAGTGCAATTTGCGGTCTGAAATCAAAAGAATGACTTCAAAATTGCACGACCGCGTAGTGTATTGTAGTGTTGGTAATCAGTAAATGATGATGGTGATGAAGATGATAATGATAGTAATAATGAAAATACTAATGCTTACTATCAATCACGTGACTTTTTGGAGTTGACTGGGGGGCAAACAAGCGGTTGACTGGGGGGGCAACTAGCGGATGCTAAGTCAAAACATATCAAAATAAGTCCTCAAATTATTGTATTTGACTATTTTCACGACATCAAACCAGAAAACAAGAGATCAAAACATCCTCCAGGATTCTACAAGCCATCAAAAAAGAGCTATTACCGGAAGTGACGTCTATTGATAGCAACCTATTTATGCTTTCTGTGTGACCAGTGAACCGATGTATTATCAATTCTCTATTGGTTTGCCTGTGGTTTCATATTCGAAAAGGTCCTGGATCCAGTGATTATCACACAGGGTGTCCACAGGGTGTTGGTGTTTGGTGTTAGTAAGACGAGTAGCTGGTCCGAGGAGAAAATACGTAGCGAACAAGTATTTTTCACTCCGATTTTCCTTGAACTACTCACATTTATTGGTTTAAAGTTCTCTTAGCCCTGCATCGGCTTTGATAGGTATGTAGTTAGATTATTTTCCTTTATCATGTTATTTAGTATCAGGCATCGCCTCGCGATCTCTCGCTTGCCGCTGCTCAAACTGGTCTGTGAAAAGCGCCTCATAAGCAAGTCAACACCGAAAATCCATTATTGGATTCGATTCGAGACTCGACATTTTTTAGAAATATACCTTTAATGTGTATTAAAATGAGTTCAAAGCATACTGCTGTGCTCTTATATTGAGCCCCCAGCTCCCTCCTTGTACGTCCTAAGCCACAGGAAGCCCGATCAAGATTTTACATCAGTTGATACATATTGCATTTATAAAATAATTAGGAAAAAATATTTTTTAATTAGGTAATTTACGTTACATTAGGTTTCATTACTCATGAGTACTGGTACTAATAACATAACTTGTATATGAGCAAAGTTACTATAGCATCCAATATCTTCCTACAGAAAGCCAATAACAATAGTCCTATTACACTATGACATCACATGTAGTTAACGCTGAGAATCATGGTCGTGGGGGATACAAGGCAACAAGACAAAGAAAGCTGTGAAAAAATTGTCTTTCTTTTAAAACTTAGAAGGGCAATGATAACCACCAAATGTTATTCCGATTTTCTCGAGCAATCAGTGCGCGAGATTTTCAATAATCACCTGTGTATTTATACTAAATATTTATATTGATCCTTTATGTAGTGTTTAAAAAACAAGTAGGAGTGTTTTATCAGGTATAAAAGCACTCGGCTATGCCTCGTGCTTTTATACCTGATAAAACACGATCTACGAGTTTTTTGAACTGCTTAAAACACTCATGAGCAATTTATAAGATTTTGGTTGAACTGGAGCCACCATACACGTCACGAACATGGATTTTTATACTTCGATAGAGATTTGACGTCACGGGCATGTGCAACCAGATTCAATAGAAGCTCCCACACGTTGGATATTGTGTGCCAAGGCAAAGACAGGCACGTTAGTCAAAGATCATTAGGGTTGACTATGACCTTGATGAAGCTCTATGTCGTCATCTAAACTTGGATGTATACTTCATCCCTGATGAAGTCATCCTCATAGTATTCAAGTGGTCTTTATATAAAGATCACATGTGTCTTTATATAAAGACACATGTGTCTTTATATAAAATCACTTGAATACTAATGAAGAGGACTTTATC